CATGTTTGCTGCTCCATGTGGCTTCCTTAGGTCTCCTTCTCCATCTGTCTTCTGCCTTCTCTCTTCTTCTCTCTCCTTTTTCTCTGCTCAGTTCTACCCTCCTTCTGGGTGGGGCAGGGAATCTGGAACTTCCCTTCTCCTAGGAACCACCCAGTTACAGTACCAACAAACTGTGTCAGGAGTGGACTCTAAAGGTAGTTTTGACGAGCTCAGTCTCACTTTCCCTCTGCAGTGGAGTAGTTGTTAGAGAGATATATAGGACAGGCGCCATCCTTTGTGGTCAGCTCCTCAGGTACAGCAAGCTTTTGCTCCAGCCTGGCATCAGGCATGTGTGCTGGGGGAATGGCTGGGCCACTCCCTCGCTCTGTGCCTGACCTGTGTTTTCTCCCCTTGCCCCCACTGCCACAATAAGGCGAGAAGCCTCACAAATGTGAGCTGTGTGACTTCACATGCCGAGACGTGAGCTACCTGTCTAAGCACATGCTGACGCACTCCAACGCCAAGGACTACATGTGCACCGAGTGTGGCTATGTCACCAAGTGGAAGCACTACCTCAGCGTGCACATGCGCAAGCACGCCGGCGACCTCAGGTACGCGTGCACTCCTGCCTTCCCCCTTACCTCAGTCACCTCCTCCACTGGCCTTGGAGAAGCTCCCGATGGCTTCCCTGCTCCTGTCGTCTCAGATCCATTGCCTCTAGCTGGCCTCTGCCTCTGGCTCCGTCTGTGTGATGAGAGCCCTCTGGGCTGAGGGAAGGGCATATATATACCCAGAACAGGGTATGCATAGAGACGAAGGTGTCACCTGAGTGCTCGGAGTTCAGTCCTGGGGACATAGATGGTATTGTGGGTCCAGTCCTGGCCACTTCCAAACCCAGAATCCAGATCCAGAGAGGAATGACTGGTGGGCACAGCTAGCCTGGGGATTCTCCACAGCTTTTGTGCCTCCACAGGAGAATGGAAACGAAGTACAGAGGCCTGTTCCATGGAGCCATAGCCATATCAACTCCTTAGAAGTCCACCGTTGGGATTTTTTTTTTTTTTAAGGATTTATTTTATTTATGCATACAAGAATTGTGTAGGCTAGCACCTAGAGAGAGGATCCACCAGAGACAGAGTGGGGAGCAGAACAGGCAGATTAATGAAGTACATTGCTGAGGGGAGCAGCAGGCGAGACAGGAGAGGTCTGCTGCGCCATGTGGGTCAGCTCCCTGGCCAGGGATCAAACTCATGCTGCGGTGGCTGGTGATAGCTTCGTAGTGCTGAGAATTAACCCCTGCACCACCAGGGAGGGCCCCACAGTTGGTTTCTGATTCACTCTCTCTCCCCTTTAGGAAGCAACATAGAGGTTAGAACATAGGCCCCGAAGCTAGATCATCTCTGCCCTTCGCTGTCTTTGTAAACTTACACCAGTTAATTAATTTCTGTGTTGTAGTATTCTCACTTGCAAAATGGAGATGATATATTTCAGCGGGTAGTGAGAAAGGTTAAATTTGATGATGCATTTATAATGCTGAGTACAGAGCCTGGTCCATAGCAGGTATTCACAGAGTAACTGTCGATTCTGATGGATTGATGATTGGGATTTTGCCCCTCCCCTCCCCTCCCTACCAGGTACCAGTGCAACCAGTGCCCCTACCGCTGTCACCGGGCTGATCAGCTGAGCAGCCACAAGCTGCGGCACCAGGGCAAGTCCCTGATGTGTGAGGTGTGTGCCTTTGCTTGCAAACGGAAGTACGAGCTGCAGAAGCACATGGCTTCCCAGCACCACCCCGGCACGCCAGCCCCACTGTACCCCTGCCGCTACTGCAACTACAAGAGCCGCCACAAGCAGGCCCTGCTGAGTCACGAGAACTGCAAGCACACCCGCCTCCGCGAGTTCTGCTGCGCCCTCTGTGACTACCGCACCTTCAGCAACACCACCCTCTTCTTCCACAAGCGCAAGGCCCATGGCTATGTGCCTGGGGACCAGGTCTGGCAGCTCCGTTATGCCAACCAGGAGCCAGAGGCAGCCAAGCAGTGCCCAACACCCCCCGCAGCGGCAGAGCCCTCCAGCCAACTGTCTGTCCAGTCCGAGGGGTCAGGCCATGACCCCGGGACCATGATAAACCCCAGCATGGATCAGGCGCTGCCAGCAGCCGGTGAGGAGGGCAGCGCCGAGAGACAGGGAGCCAGCGAGGCTCCCCAGGCGGACGACCTGGTTGGTAGTCCCAGTCCAGCAGAGGTAGATGAAAGTGGCTGCACACTGCACCTAGAGGCCCTGGGAGTAGAGCTGGAACCTGTTGCGCAGCGCCCCCTTGAGGAGATCACGGAGACAGCCCCTATAGATTTCAGGGCCCTGGATCCATCAGGGCCACTGACACTGGAAGAGTCAGACGGAACTTTGACAGAGTTGTCTACCTTTGAAAGCGCTGGGACTTCTGGCTTAGGTGCTGAAGAGGAGCCCATTCTGGAAAAGGCAGTCCCTGGAAACCCCAGTAACCTCTCTTCGTCAGAGGAGCCCCCTAACAGTTGGGTGGGAACTTTGAAGGCAATTCTACCCACCAAGACATCACCACTGCCCCAGTTTCCTGAGTCAGAGTCACTGCTCAAGGCCCTAAGGAGGCAGGACAAAGAGCAGGCAGAGGCCCTGGTCCTGGAGGGGCGGGTTCAGATGGTGGTGATCCAGGGCGAGGGCCAGGCCTTCCGCTGCCCGCACTGCCCTTTCGTTACCCGCCGGGAGAAGGCCTTGAGCCTGCACTCCCGGACGGGCTGCCATGGTCGTCGAGAGCCCCTGCTGTGCCCTGAGTGTGGGGCTAGCTTCAAGCAGCAGCGGGGCCTCAGCACCCACCTGCTAAAAAAGTGCCCTGTTCTGCTCAGAAAGAACAAGGCCTTCCCCAGACCAGACTCGCCCACCCCGCTGCGTCCTCTAGGCGCCCAGGCTCCCGAGGACGCAGGAGGTGGGGAACCCCCGTCTGCACCATTAGAAGTGGAGCCAGTGCCCCCCAAAGGTGCCCCTTCTGCGCTTCCTAGGGAGCCAGAAGAAGCAGAGAAGCCTCTTGCTATATTCCCTGACTCCATAGTGCCTCCCGCAGCCAGCTCCTCACCCACAGAGACCCCTGAGAAGTTCCACTTTGAGCAAGGCAAGTTTCACTGCAACTCGTGCACGTTCCTTTGTTCTCGGCGCTCCTCCATTACCTCTCACGTGACAGAGGGCTGCCGGGGTGGGAAGCGGAGGGCCTCCCAGACCCAGCCTGTCGTGTCCCTGCTGACTGATGGGGACTCTGCTCCCCTAAATAGTGGGAGCACAGAGTGTAGCGCTGACAGCGGGCACCCAGCTCTGGCTCCAAAGCAGAAGGGGGCTCGCTTCTCCTGCCCCACGTGTCCCTTTAGCTGCCAGCAGGAACGCGCCATGAGGACTCACCAGACCCGGGGCTGCCCCCTCGAGAAGTCTGGAGAGCTGCACTGCAGCCTCTGCCCATTCACCGCCCCTGCGGCTGCTGCCCTGAGGCTCCATCAGAAGCGCAGGCACCCCTCCGGAGCCCCGGCCCGTGGCCCCCGGCCCCCCCTTCAGTGCGGGGACTGTGGCTTCACCTGCAAACAGAGCCGGTGCTTGCAGCAGCACCGGCGCCTCAAGCATGAGGGAGTGAAGCCACATCAGTGCCCTTTCTGTGACTTCTCCACCACCAGGCGGTACCGCCTGGAGGCTCACCAGTCCCGACACACGGGCGTTGGCCGCATCCCCTGCAGCTCCTGCCCGCAGACATTTGGGACCAACTCAAAACTGCGCTTGCACCGGCTAAGAGTGCACGACAAAACCCCCACCCACTTCTGTCCCCTCTGTGACTACAGTGGCTACCTGCGCCATGACATCACACGCCACGTCAACAGCTGCCACCAGGGCACCCCGGCCTTTGCCTGTCCCCGATGTGAAGCCCAGTTCAGCTCCGAGACAGCCCTCAAACAACATGCTCTACGCCGGCATCCCGAGCCTGTGCCCCCGGCCCCTGGCTCTCCTGTGGAGGCCGCCGAGGGCCCTCTGCACTGCTCCCGCTGTGGGTTGCTGTGCCCCAGCCCCGCCAGCCTTCGGGGACACACCCGGAAACAGCACCCCCGGCTCGAGTGTGGAGCCTGCCAGGAGGCTTTTCCTAGCCGGCCGGCCCTGGACGAGCACCGCAGACAGCAGCACTTCAGCCACCGCTGCCAGCTCTGTGCCTTTGCCGCCCGGGAGCGGGCGGGCCTGGTGAGGCACTACCTGGAGCAGCACGAGGAAACTTCAGCAGCGGCGGCAGCCCCGGATGGGGGTCAGGACGCCAGTCAGCCCCCTCTGCGCTGCCCCTTTTGTGACTTTGCGTGCCGCCACCAGCTGGTGCTAGACCACCACGTGAAGGGCCATGGGGGCACCCGGCTCTACAAGTGCACGGATTGTGCATACAGCACCAAGAACCGGCAGAAGATCACCTGGCACAGCCGCATCCACACTGGAGAAAAGCCCTACCGCTGTCACCTCTGTCCCTACGCCTGCGCTGACCCGTCCCGCCTCAAGGTACAGTCAGAGCCACGGGTGTCAGGAGTCCACGCAGGGTAGGCTGTGAAGCTCAGTTACCGTGACTGTTCCAAATGTCAGGAGCCCGAGCTTGGCCAAGCCTCAGTTCCTCATATGTGAATAGGGGGTGCCAGGACTATTGCAAGGACAGCATCCCATAATATTTGCTCGGTATGTGATAAACACGTGTGATAGATTTGGGGGAATCCGGAGGGGAGCAGCCGACACCTGTCGAGCGCTTACTGTGCGCCAGGCATTGTAGTTTAGATTCTCTCAAAAATAAGAGAGTTACTCTTACTGTTTTCCACTTAATGAGAATCAGGGTGAGGTCACCCCAGAACACTGCTAAGTGCAGGGCTGAGGTGGCTCGGCCCACCGAGTGGGTTGGGCTGGTGTTAAAATCTGAGAGGGACCGGATTAGTCACAGGGATGTAGCTAGGAGGGAGCAGAACACAGGGTCATTTGCCAGCAGTTTCTCTGCCTATTTCTCTCTTTCCTCCTCTAGCAAGTGACAAAGGTACATATTTTCTGGGTATGTTTTTTGCTCTTCCTTTCTCCAGTACCATATGCGGATCCACAAGGAAGAACGGAAGTATCTGTGCCCAGACTGTGGCTACAAGTGCAAATGGGTCAACCAACTCAAGTACCACATGACCAAGCACACAGGTGGGTTCTGACAGGCCCAAAGGTTTCCCCTGCCCTCCCACACCCCCGCCTTTCTGAGGTGAGTGTCTGTGCCCTGCTCAGATACAGGGCACGCGTCAGTTTCCACATTGAGGATAGTGGGTGGGCTGAAAGGCCAGAATAGCCCGGGAACCTATCAGAATCAGAAGAAAGGGGAACCGGGGCGTGCGTGCTTTGCAAAAGCTGCTCAGGTGATCGTGGCACGAAGCCATCAACCTGCCGCTGAGAACCAGCCAACTCAAACAGGAGTGAGGGTAGGTCAGCTTGGTTCCTTCACGTACACGATGGCGCTATAGTAAGGAAGGAGGAGAAAGTACGCTTCTGCCTAAATGTGTCCTTTTTTTTTTTTTTTTCAGGGCATAGAATCCACAAGCTGCAGGTTCTCAGGAAAGGGTTAATAAGAGGGTGTCTGCTGTTATTGTATATGGCTTCATTGAAAGAATTGATCAGATGCATTTCAAGGCACTCTGCATCTATGAATGCTTCTTCCACCTCTACCCGCTTCAACCTTAAACATTTTCTTTACTTACTGAGTTGGACAGGAGTTAACTTTAAGTGGAGTCCTATTTTCAGCAAGTCACCCATGACCAAAAAAAAGTTAGAATTTCCCATTCGGAAATCATATCACATTTGAGTATTCATTGCTATCAAGTGGCCACTTGGGGGTCCAGTGAGTTAGCACAGCCATTGAGCACCCCTTGTATACAGACGCAGAGGCTGTGTTGGGAAGGGGCACAGAAATGTCAGGCAGGACTGGAATGTTCCAAAGATGTATTTGCTTGCTGCTTGTGTCCGTCCTCATCCCAGAATCGTGAAGAGCCTTGTTCCCCTTCCTTCAGTGTAACCTGTTCCCTGTCCTTGCCCTGTCCTGCAGGACTGAAGCCATACCAGTGCCCCGAGTGTGAGTACTGCACCAACCGGGCTGACGCGCTGCGTGTGCACCAGGAGACACGGCACCGGGAGGCGCGGGCCTTCATGTGTGAGCAGTGTGGCAAGGCCTTCAAGACTCGCTTCCTGCTGCGCACCCACCTCCGCAAGCACAGCGAGGCCAAACCCTACGTGTGCAATGTGTGCCACCGTGCTTTCCGCTGGGCCGCCGGCCTGCGCCATCACGCCCTCACCCACACTGACCGCCACCCCTTCTTCTGCCGCCTTTGCAGCTACAAGGCCAAGCAGAAATTCCAGGTGGTCAAACATGTGCGCAGGCACCACCCCGACCAGGCTGACCCAAACCAGGGCGTGGGCAAAGACCCCACCACCCCCACGGTGCACCTTCACGATGTGCAGTTGGAGGACCCCAGCCCTCCTGCTCTTGCCGTCCCCCCAACTGGACCTGAGGGCTGAGAGCCTATTCTCCCTCCCAGGCGGAAAAAGGACGTCGCCCAAGATGTGCAGACTGGAACCAGAGCTAGCCTGAGGAGCTCAGGGCCTTAGGAGGCGCTGGCTTTGGGGTATCAGGGAGGCTGGACCCCTCTGGGACACAGCTGTATTACTTTGAATTTGATGGCCACGACCACCGAGTGGTTTCTTACTGAGGCATACCGTTTTTAACTTCTGAGTCCCTAGTTTCTCATAACTCCACCAAAGTTGCTGGCTGTAAGGTCTTGATTTCACTCATTTCTTCTTCACTTTACCTTTTATTATGTCAAGTCTTTTTTTTCTTTCAGCATCCTTTAAACAGTTGTATCTAATTGCATGTGCTGTTGTGCCTAATGGTCTATAAAGCATGTTAAACAGAATGACTAATAGCTTGTAGAATCGTCCAATTCCATCTTAACATTTCCAGGCCTCCTCTCCATCTGCTGTTGCCTTTCAGACCTCTGCCTCTCCTTTGTCTCCTGTCTTCACTAAGTGACTGGTTATCGAAAGGCCCAGGTCTGCCTTCTCTCTATCTGAGGCTGCCTTGGCCTTCACCCTGCTCCTTATTTCCAAGCCCCTTTGTCTACCTGTTGAATGAGGATTGCTACCTACAAGACCTCCGGAAGCAGTTTTAATTCAGGATCAATCCTCAATCCGGCTCAGCAGCTGCTCAAAAGTATAAGAATAGTATAAAAGTCCAATCATTGACAGGGTAAATCTCTAGAATTCTCTAAGTGTCTCATAGTGACTATACAGTAAATTGTCTAAAACTTTCCAGGCACACTGGGAAATTAATTATGCTGGTATAGTCAAATACACATGAGGACTATTCCAGACAAACCGTTCAGAAAGACGAGGATCACAAAACCCTTTGTCTCCGTTTGCCCTGCCTCCTTGAAGCTATAACTCTTTTATTTATTTATGCATATTGAACTGGGGTACAGGCCAGAGGTGCAGGGGTGGTGAGAGGATTCACCAGAGAGTGGGGAGCAAAACAGACAGATCAATGAAGTACACTGCTGAAGGGAACAGCGGGCAGGTCAGGAGAGGTCTGCCGCGCCCCATGTGGGTCACCTCCGGGGCCAGGATTGAACTCAACACTGAAGCAACTGTGGCTCACTTGCAGTGCTGCGTCCTAACAAGTTGCACCACCAGGGAGAGCCTCAAAGCTATAATTCTGTACCCTTCCTTTGCAGTACGTGGGGAGGAAGCTTGTTTTCCATCTTTTTCCTGTCCATCTTACCTACCCAAATGTCCCTCAATTCTCAGACCTCTCCTTGTCCAATAATGATAGACTACGCTCAAGCTGAGTTGGGAAAACAAGTCCTATTTAAATCAGCGGGGCTAGAGAGGAGCAGCCCAGCAGGGAGCCCGAGGGCTGTGCACTGTTACAGCTTCCAAGTCACAGGACAGAGTTGGCATCATGTCTCCTTCCCCGTCTTTGTCTCTGGAGGCCTGAGGCTTTACTCCTTCCGTTGGATTATCCTATCCTCTAGACTTTGAGGAAGTGAGGGGTGAAGGAGATAATGTTCTTTGGGTTCTGTCCCAAGCCCCTCTGGATTTCTAGTTACAGTCTGTCTTTGAACCAGAGTTGATTAGTTCTAGATCAAGTCTTGGCTTGAGCCTTACAGCACAAGGAACTCCAGAGTAGAGTACACAAAGGGGAAAGGTAAGAAACATCCACAACATCTTGTGAAAACAAGAAGAAAGAAGGGGGGAAATCAGGTTCTACAGTTGTTTGTTGTGAAAGCTTGCTTTTTGCACCTCCCCCTGCTATCTGAAACATCAGATTTTTCTTAATATAGAAAGCTAAAGCCTTCCCATGCAATGTCCACGTCAGGATTCAGCCTCCTCGACCTCTTCCCGGATGCAGATGTACACGAAGAGGGAAGCTGGGTGGAGGCTGACGCCATCCTTGGAGAGCAGGTGTACGTGGCGGTAACCTGGAAAGAGCAGGGCAGCATTAGGGCAGCAGCCGGGCCCAGGTGTTGATCGGGGCCACAGAACTGACTCACCTTGTCTCATGCAGGTCCAAGGTAGGGTGTACTGACCGACAAAGTCATCGCGGGACGTCCAGTTGTAGTCCTTGACCACAAAGCGCAGCAGGGCCAGTTCAGGCACCAGGACCCTGAAGCACAGTGTCTGCCCCCAGTGTGGATTAAAACCTGAGATGGGGATGACAGAACAGACACTTCTTCAGACATTACCATGCTGGGGTGCTCTACTCGGTAAATTTTCATAGCAACCAACATTTTACAGAGGAGAAAACTGAGCTCAGAAGGGTAAGCCATTTGCCCAGACCACTGGAGTGTCCCGTTGCACACTGCCTCCTGTGTGGGTGGGGGTGCCCCTCCACCTGCCCCCCATGTCCATTCTCACCATTGTTCTCCACATGGCTGGTGTCGTGCCGGCTTGTGTCTGGACGAACTCCGAAGATCTCCACCCTCACAAGTGGGTCTGTAATGGACCCTTCTTTGGTCTTGGCCCCTTTGGGGAACTGCTGCCCACTGATCACCTGCAACCAGAATTCTAAACCTTCTAGTCCCTGCCCGGCCCAGCCTTCCTCCTACTCTCACTCTCTAGGAGGGAGAAAGAAAGGAGGGGAGCGGCAGGCCCTCGCTCACACTATGTATCGCTTTGGGGTTTGCTCAGCTAATCTTAGTGGGTAATAAGTTTTAAAATCTCTGCAGTTTGAGTAGAAATTTAACAAGGTTTGGAAGTAGACATGGTAGTGACAGCAGCCCCATTCTCCAGCACTCAGCATGCACCAGGCTGTGTTGTAAGGACTGCACATTTACTCGTCATAACCCTGTTGGGTAGTATCATTACCCTTATTTGTAGGCCAGAAGACAGGTTAAGAGACTTGCCCAACACGACGCAACTGGTAAATATGTCCAGCCTATACAACAGGCTGCAAACTGCCTACTCCTTGTGAGAAACTTCATTGCATTCCTGGGAGGCCTAGCCACGGCTTCTCCCATTCCCGCTTCTCTCCAAGCTACAAGTTTCTTCCCAATGGTTTTTCTTTTCCCTGTACCTGGATTATGAGGGTCTGAGCTTTGAAAGGGCTGATGGGCTTCTCAGGATGAAAGGAACTCTGGGCATCTCGTAGGAAGTCTGGCTTCAGGACGTAACCACAGCCGCCATTCTGACGGAAGAACCCATCGTAGATGTCCATCTCAAGCCCTGCGGTCTGCACGTTCATAGCCACTGGGATCCCAGGAGAAAGGGAAAGGGTCAGGTTTGCCTTGGGGGCCACCCATGCCCTCTTTCAGAGAGTCAAAGAAACACATAGTGTCCATAAAAGATTCTGGGAACACCAGGCATCTTTCTCAGCATCTCGCTGGAAGCATCCTGGCCCCCCTGCCACACAGGGACACACTTCCTACTTGCTGCTCTCCCATGCCCCCTTCCCTTGTCCCAGCTACCCCCTCACCCATCTGGCAGCCAACATTCCAGAATTCCTGGGGGTTGTAATTGGATGAATCTGTCCTCAGGCCACTGGGATACACACGGCTTAACTGCCAGGCGTTGTGCTGCACAAACTCATTGCCTATGAGACGGAGAAGAGGGAGATGGAACTGTGGTAGCTCCTCATAGCTCCTCCCTCCTGCCTGGTCCCGAGAACCTTCTCCCCCACTGACTCCTCTCTCCTCACTAGCATCTCATGGGGTTGGCTCCCGAGAATTTCACCAAGGGCTTCTCTCCTCCACACCATGCCCTCCCAACTCCTCCCCCACGCCCAAACCTGTTTTCAGCAACTCTGTCCCCATGTAGCCCTGAGGAGTTTCTTGGCCCCTCATCCCTCCTCAGCTCCTCCATCCTCTTTCATGGGCCTTACCTGCCGCCCACATGTCAGGCCTTACCACCCATCCCCACCTCTGCCCTCTCCCTCCCTTTTGGTGCTGACCAGCCTCCTTGATGAGGCCCTTGGCCTTGGTTTCAGAGAAGGACGATATCTCATAGAAACGGTAGTGCTCCCTCGAGTGGGTGAAACTGTGGAACGACACAGACTTCAGGTATACAACCAAGGCAGAGAGAGATGGGCACAAGATGGGCTTGGATTTCTGGAAAAGGAGAAAGTAGAGAGGACGATGGAACTGAACCCTCAGCAATCTGAGAAGTGACAGCCAAGATCTGAACTTCCTCACCCAACATAAGCCTCTGCCCACTGCCTCCCCCTGCAATCTCCCTCCTGCCTCACCTGCTTGGGAAAGAGAAGGGACCCACATTTGGAAATAGGAACTTGGGCTGTAATATGACAACAGAGAGGTGGACAAAGCAACAGGCAAGTCACAACCTAGGGATGGGAGTGGGAATAAAGTCTGCATGGACTGATGGGTTCCATTTCCTCTGGGTATGAATGTTTCACTTTATGTAATTCTCTAGAAAATAGGTTTTTAATTTATTATTACTACACAGAAGTGTCATTCTCCCTAACTTCCACCTTTTCAATTAACAATGTACAGGAATCCAGAATGATGTCAAGGGGGGCAATGATCAGAGAAGTCACACCTGAAAGGATGTGAGGGTTCCAGAACAATAGCGTTAGGTCTTTCTCCTGAATTCCCATTTCCATTCCTGAACATTAAAGTTGGTTAGATACCACAGCCCCGTGAGAGGAAAGGATAAGCTGAGAAGCCAGCTGAGTTAACTGGCATGAGAGAGGTGTCACTGGCATTCCCAGCAATGACACCCCTCCCCCACATGGAGGCAGGCCACAAGCACAGCCTACTCAGAGCCTTCACCTTCCCCACTTCTTCCTGTTCCTTTTTGGCTATTTCTGGTTCCTCCTCAGACCCACCTTTTCCAGGAAGCTCCAACTAAGTCTACTTTAGTAGCAGTCCTTCCAGTAACCCCTAAAGACTCAATTTAATAATGCTGCACACACACCTATTAGTGGTTTTCAAATTGACCTTTGTGGATACTGAGAAGTGGCACAAAGATAACTCGAGAGTCACAGGACAGAGCCAAATGTGTGCTCCAACTAGGATGACTCTGCATTGATCTATTTTGTATATATACTATATATCGTGTTTCCACATAAAAACTTATTTCAAGTCCCTTCCTGGTAGTGCAGTGGGTTAAAGTGCAGCACTATGAAGCCATTGGCAGCCACCGCAGCATGAGTTGGATCCTCAACCAAGGAGGTGACCCAAAGGGTGCAGCAGACCTCTCGTCTCCCCTCAGAAGTGTACTTCAGTTAATCTGCCTGTTCTGCCCCCCACTCTGTCTCTGGTGAATCCTGTCACCCACCATACCTCTGGTCTATACCCCAGTTCTTGCATGCATAAATAAACAAATCTAAAAAAATAAGTAAGTTAAAACTTATTTTTAAATGATTTCATGAACTAAAGATATAAAGGCACTGCAGTATATCTATATGTGGATATAAATCTATAAATATATATTGACACCTATGCATTCTTATGCTTCTCTAGCTGTGGGGAAGAGGTAACTGGCTCTAGTCAACACAGGTGTAGAGAATGAACAAATGCCAAAGTGGAAAAAGCACTTTCATGGCCTACCTTCTCCTTTTTGTCCTTTCTGCGAGGATTCAACTCCTGAGTTTCAGGCTGTATCTGGGCCTCCAGCTCCCTCTCCAATTGAGATTCTAGCTCTTCCTCTTCTTCCTCTTCCTCAAGATCCTCCTCAAGTGTCCTTAACTTCTTCCCCTTCACCAGAATCTTGTTCCGGAGCTCCTAAGGGAAAGAAATGAAGGGGCCTGTCTACCTGTCCCTGGGTACCCTCCTGGAGATCACTCAGGTTCCTCTGCTCTCAAAAGGTCACCTCAAAGGCAAAGGAAGTGAGTGAGTGGTCCAAATTTGCAACAGGAAGTCTGCTTGATACAAAGAACAGGGGTTCCCTATTATTAAGCAAGCTGGTAACATTTCTATATATGTACTGAGTAAAAAGAAATAGGGTCCCTTACCTCACATATAAAGCAATAATTCTTCATAAACTCAAAGTTTACAGGTAGGCATAAAGAACATAAGAGTACTCAAAGAAAATAGAGAATCTGGGCCCTCCCTTGTGGTGCAACGGGTTAAAGCGCAGCACTATGGGTTGAAGTACAGCAATGGGAAGCTAGAAGCAGCTGCTTCAGCCCAAGTTTGATCCTGGCCAGGATCAAAACTCTTGTCTCACCTTCTGTTCCCCTCAGCAGTGTACTTCGTCAATCTGCCTGTTCTGCTCCCCACTCTGTCCCTGGTGAATCCTCTCACCCTCTGCATCTCT